GCATGCCTTTAACCCGCATTTGGGTGAGGCAAAGACATAAAGTGTAACTATAATGTTTGTACCCTCACAAAACCCTGGAATAATAAATAAAAAAAAAAATGTTCATTTCTCCTCTACTCCTTTAAAATTGATTATTTTTGTTTTCACTTAAAATCTTAAGGCTATTTTAAGTAAAAATACACAATAAACCCAATATCTTACCAGGATCACTGGTAGGAAACTTAAAATTTTCAAATGTTTGTTCATTGATTGGTTTAATAAAGATCAAATTTAAACCTTTAAAGTAATTCTTGCAAATATGGTGGCCTTTTGCTTTTCTACTTTTCTAATATTTTAGTTTCAGCTATATTGAGAGAGGCTCTTTCAGATAAAATGTTATCACAAAAGGGGTAAAAGCATTGTTTCTCTTACATGGGGACCATAAAGAAAGCTCTATTTCTATACCAGAAAGATAAGAAAGGTATACAAATTATCTGATTGACTAATAATACCTTATAATGGATTATATTCTTTATCATAAACTCAGAAAAGCATCCTAAAGTCATGAGATAAAACCAAGTTTAACATATAATAATTTGCTATTGCCAATTATATTACTGTGAGTAGAACAAGCGATGTCCCTTGAGCTCTGACATTTAAAATAAAGGTGTGGTAAATGGATGCTGTAAGAATATGTTTATATAAAAACTTCATGCAAGTGGATAAACATAGGTCTAAATTTAAAAGAAGAGAGCAGTGTAAAGGTACAACCTTCCTTATGAGAAGTTCAAATGTAAGTAAAAGGAACAGTCTGAAGTATGCACACAAAAAGTAAATCTGGTAACACAAGTTAATGTTTTGGTGGTCTCAAATATGTTGAAATTTGGTACTTTTTTTTTTTAACAGGGAGCAGGTCTTGCTATGCTGCTCAGACTGGAGTGCGGTGGCTATTTGCAGGCGCAATCCACACGCCACAGCCTCAAACACGCCACAGCCTCAAACTCCTAGGCTCAAGCAATCCTCCCCCTCAGACTCCCAAGGATTAATAGCTAGGATTATAGGTGTGTGACACTATGCCCGGCTAAGCATATGACAGATTTTAGTATTTTTCTTTACTACAGTTTTAAGAAATAGTTAAAATTCAAATTTTAAAAATTCAAGTCAGTTTTTGTGGGACAGCCAAAGCACCTCCCATTCCTGTGGAATACAACTAGAAAGCCACTGCTCTACCTGCTCCTGTGGAAGGACACATGAGCTGCCTGCCCCTCTCAGGGCCATCGCCTATGGCAGGTCTGTAGACTTAGCTAATTGCCATAATTGGCCTAGTTTAGTTTCAGATGGGACCTCTATAAATGTGAGGAGTAGTAAGGGCATTTCAACTCACTGAAATTGTTAGCTCTGCCTCAGGTAGGAAGGACAAACAGCTTCTCATATCTGAAGTGCTCTGCTTAGTTCCCAAGGTCTGAGTGTTCTCACAATTATTTTACAGTAAATGCTTGTTTCTTTTGAATCCTCAGAAATAAGTCCTCCTCTTAAGCATTAAAAACTTTTCATTTTTATAATTTTGGATAGAAATCTTTAAAAACTGAGTTATATATTACTTGATTGTCTTAAACAGCATATTCAGCATAATATAATTGTTTTTAGCCTTTACGATTAACTTATTGTAAGTTGTCCATTTTTATTGCAGAAATATTAGAGAATATGGCTATGAAACACAAACCCAAAGAGAATGCATACAGCACCTTGGGGCATGCTCTGTGCTGAAGCAGAGACAGGTTCCAGCTTATCTAGTGATGCAGAGCCATGAGTTACGTGTCATGAATGAACTTCAGACCACTGTCATTTGAGTTCTTTTGTCTGCTTTGGATTCTGATGCTGGCTCCTCTGCTGTCTGTCAGAGAACGTCATTTAGGTTTGCCGTCAAGATACCTATCAGCACAGCACCTCTCACACCGGCCTCCTTTGTTTCTTTGGATGGCTGGGAGTCTGGAAATTGGACAACTTAGCCTAAGGGCAGAGTCAGCAGGCTCTGAGTGAGGGGCTATGGGGCTCATGAGAGAAGTGTATAAGCTTTAGTCATGGTCTCAGTGATAATTTTATTGGTTGGCTGAAGCCTTTCTTGCTTACTCTGCGGTTTGAGGTTGTGGTCTAAAATAGGCAAGGTTAACGGTAAGTTTGGTGCATAAAGTCATGGTATTACTGAAACTTTGTTGGTAGTTGAGTTTAGCTTATAGTTTGTACAGAGAAAAAAATCTCAGCTGTTTGACAACTGACTATACCAAGGTCTATTTTTAACTCACTGTGTTATACTGTAGTATTAAATCTAAGAAGAACATCTACAAATACACCCACGTACCCCATGAGGAAGCACAAAGGTATAGATCACCCCATATGCTGCTCAGGATTGTCTCTGCAGCCAGAGGAGAAGGCAGCCACAGGCCAGCACACCGCTGCCTTCACCTGGGGCCTCGTGCCAGCACTCCTCACTGGCCAGGACTACAACCTTTTCTCCTCCTTTTGATGAAATCTTAAAATCTGGAATGCCATTGTACTGACCAAAGGAATGTATCACCTCAGATGTAAAGCCATCCCTGGACTGGGGTTCTGGCCTTTCATCGTTGCTGCTGCTAAGACAGTGCTGCTCCTTAATCATTACAGCTACACCTAAACTGTTTTTTTCCCCCTTTAGAGACAAGGTCTCGCTCTGTCTCCCAGGCTGGAGCGCAGTGGTGTGATCATAACCCACCGTAACCTAGGACTCCTGGCCTCAAGCGATCCTCCCATTCCAGCCTCGCAAAGTGCTGGGATTACGGGGGTGAGCTACCATGCCCGGCCTAAACTTCTTTTTTTAAGCAGCAAATTTTAATACGGACATTAATATTATCATCTCCAACTGTATTTTTTACATTTATCTTTAATTGATACCATTTCACAGGGAGTGAAACTCTTCAATGATCAAGTTATCTTTTATTGAATGCTTACTATGTGACAGACACCAAATATCTCATTCAATTCTCACAAGAACCTGAGGCAGGTCCTATTTTCCATTCATTTATTCGCTAAATACTTGGTGAGTATTTCTTCTGCACTTGGCCCTGGTCTAGCCACTGGGATTTTTCATTAAATAAAACAGAGGCCCTGTTCTCAAGGCCCTTACATTCTAGTGTGGGGAGGTGGATGAATAAGCGACATAAATATGTAATCTATCAACAGTCATGAAAGCTATAAAGAAAAATAAAATAGGCCAGGGGGACAGAGAGTGATAAGGGGTGTGGGAGGAGGGCTGGTGTTATTTTAGGCAGGATGGTTAAGAAAGGCCTCTCTGAGGAAATTTAACTTGAGCAAAAACCTGAAAGCAAGCCCATGTGGATATATGGGGGAAGAACATTCCAGGCACAAGGTACAACAGGTGCAAAGGCCTGCCTCCGGTGTTTGGGGGAGTGTTTGGCAAGTTCAAGGAGCAGTTCGGAGGTCACTGTGAGCAGAGGGTGACAGCAAGGAAGGTCAGAGCACACGGGGGCAGGTCAAGCAGGCCTTGTCGGCTCGGCTGCATTTCTGGAGCCGCTGGAGGTTTTGAGAAGAGGAAAAGATCAGTATTATCCCCATTTTTACAATTGGGGCAACACAGATGCAGAGATGGCAAATAACCTGCCTACAACTAGCAAGGAGCAGAGCTGGGATAGGAACAGTCTGATTCCACGGCATGTCCTCTTAGTTGCTATGAAATTTCCTCATAGACAATTTCTATGTCCATATGGGGATGAGATTACTGAGAATTTTAGTGAGTGAACATTACTCTAGTCCTTTTATTTAAAATATGAAGAAACAGGGCCGGGCGCGGTGGCTCA